GTAATCTTTTCCAGCCTCCTCTATCCCCCCGCCCCCTCCCCCCCCCCCCCACCCGCCTCTCCCTTCACCTCCCCCATCTGCTTCCCATCCCAGCCAGGAGCCATCACCTGGTCAAGGAAGGGGCCTCCGGGAAGGGGGCGCGGCCTTGCCTCTTGGGTACCCTACACTTTAAGAGGAATCCTGGGAAGGGGAGCGCTCAGGTTCCCTCCCCCACTTGCCCACACAACCTGCCTGTTCCCTTTTTCCCCTAGGTGGCTGCCCCTTGCCTCTCCCGAGATGTCAGGAAAGAGGGGACCACCTGTGTCCCCCACAGGGGCACCCCAGAGCCTGGGGGCCCCCAGCACTGGAGCCTGGAGGTGGAGGAGGTGCTGACAGGTCTGGTAACCACCTGCTGCTTCCCACTTCTCTCCACACCACTTTCCCAGAACCACAGACTTCCAGAATATTGCAGAGAAACTGTAGGATCCACACCCTCACCACTATCTCCCAGCCCCTGGTTCATTTTTTTTTTTTTAAGATTTTATTTATTTACTTGTCAGAGAGAGTGAGCCAGCACAAGTCGGGGGAGTGGCAGGCAGACGGAGAAGCAGGCTCCCCGCTGAGCAGGGAGCCTGAGGGAGGACTCAATCCCAGGACCCTGGGATCATGACTTGAGCCAAAGGCAGACGGACGCTTAACCAACTCAGCCACCCCGGTGTCCCCCCTGGTTTATTTCTTGGACAGGGAAACTGAGGCCCCACACAGGAGAGGAAATGTCTTGCCTTCTCAGCGGCAGTTTTGAGCTGAACTTGGGTCTTGCTAGGATACCAGAACATGGATTTTTTCAGAATTTTGGAACCTCAAACCTCCTCTAGGCTGTAGGACTTCGGGTCCCTCAGGGTTGTAGGTAGGGGTAGGATGCAGGGGGGAGTTGCTCTGACAGGGCTCAAGTCCTACTCTGGCATTTGCTGGCTGTGTGATCTGGCTCACCTCTCTGAGCCAGTATTTCTCCATTTGCTGGCTTGTTGGCTATTATTAGCAATAGTAGTGAAATAATTATGATTAATCTAGAAGTTGGGTGTTATCTAAGTCCTAGAATATAAGGTCCTTCCAAGGTTCTAGAACAAGGGCCTCCCCCTGGTTCTGGAATTCAGGTCCCCCTGGAGTTCCCAACCTCTGCCCCCCTCCCCCACTAAGTTTTTATCCTCATCTCTAACCCCGGCTTCCCTCTCTATCCTCTAGGTGCTCAGCGAGATGCTCCCCAGCCCCTCCTGCTCCCTCCCCATCCTCCTTCTATTCCTTCTCCCCAGTGTCCCAATGGAGCCCCATCCCCCACCCTTACCACTGCCCCCATTTCTAGCCCCTGAGTGGGACCTCCTGTCCCCCCGAGTAGTCCTGTCTAGGGGTGCCCCCGCTGGGCCCCCTCTACTCTTCCTGCTGGAGGCCGGGGCCTTTGGGGAGCCAGCAGGCAGCCCCGCCAACCGCAGTCGGCGAGGGGTGAGTGAGACAGCACCAGCAAGTCGCCGGGGAGAGCTGGCTGTGTGTGATGCGGTCAGCGGTTGGGTGACAGACCGACGGACAGCTGTGGACCTGCGTGGGCGTGAGGTGGAGGTGCTGGGCGAGGTTCCTGCAGCTGGAGGCAGCCCCCTCCGCCAGTACTTCTTTGAGACCCGCTGCAAGGCTGACAGCGCCACCGAGGAAAATGGCCCTGGTGGGGGTGGGGGTGGGTGCCGGGGTGTGGACCGGAGGCACTGGGTGTCTGAGTGTAAGGCCAAGCAGTCCTACGTGCGGGCATTGACCGCTGATGCCCAGGGCCGTGTAGGCTGGCGATGGATTCGAATTGACACTGCGTGCGTCTGTACACTCCTCAGCCGGACTGGTCGGGCCTGAGGCCCATGCTCAGGAACTGGGCAGGCAGAGGAAGAAGACAGCTGGATGCTGAGGGACCTCAGGGGCGGCCTGGCTGCTCTGGGCCTCGGTTTGGGAACTTGTGAAATGGTCACAAAATCACAGCTTTCTGAGTTGGAGAGCTAAATCGATGCAAGAGAGGTGGTGAAACCAAATGGGGTTTTGAAGGATGAATAGGAGTTCTTCTGGATGAACTTGAGGGTGATGATGATGATAATATCCAGTATTTTCTGAGTGTCTACTGTTTATCAACACTAATACACAATTTTTCAGATCAACTCTGGTGGATTTAACCATCAGAGGAACCTCAGCTTCTAAGTTGCTAACCACTTGATTTCAGAGGACATCTTGCTCACCCTGGAGAGAATGACAAGGAAGTGATATGTCAAGAAGTGGGTGGGGGAGTGTAAAAACGGACACGTAAGCAACTAGCTGTGGGCTGGGATTTGAATGAGAAATCTTACTTGGTCATATGCGGCGAGTGTTGGCTTAGAATGTTCTGTTTTGAGGCAGTGAGCTACCCATCACAGAAGGAGCACAAGCAAGGTTGAATGATAAGAGGTCAGGATGCTAGAGAGTAATTTAACACTGTTGGGGAGTTGGTGTCAGGTTTCTGCCTCCTTTTCTGTCCCAACTTTTACCCCATATTGGGAAAGAAATAGACCTTAGAATTGTCAACATTGAGTATGGCATAAGGTTCTGACCAATTGACCTGACTCCAGGCTAGGATCAGGGGTCATGTGGACAGTGATAGGCTTTGAGTGGGCCAGGAAAATCCAAAAGGAGAAATGGCCCCAGAGGCCTAAATGAGGGGTTCAGTAGGACCAGGGGCCAGGCTGCAGAAGGTAGCCTCAGTTTTCCCCATCTGAAGAATGGGTTAGTGGGATGAGCTAGTGGGAGCTGAGAAGGCAGAGGCTTGACCAAAATGTCTTTAAGGCAAGGAAGTGACAAGGGAAGTCAGGGGCAGACCCCACACCTTCAGGATACCCCTTCATGTATCACCAGTCCATATCTTAAGCCGGTTGCCAGCGCGCGCGCGCGCGCGCGCACACACACACACACACATTCTTTTAGAACCAGCTTTAGGCTAAAGACTGAAACCATAGACATCCCCCATCCCCCGCCGCCAACACAGACTGGGCCCCTGGGAAGGGTAGGGGTGGCAGGGCTGGGCTGGGTCTGGCTGCCTTTGTTTCTACGTCGCTGTGTTTCTAGGTCTGTGGTTCCCACTCTTTTTTGTCACCTCCCTCTCTGTCTCTTGTCCCTGGGTCAGTAGCTCTGTGTTTCTCATTCACTGTCTCTCACCCGTTCTTGTCTTTCTTTCTCATCAAAGCTCTTTCGACATCCCCTCCCCTCTCTTTTTGCTAAGTATTTCCCCGTGTATGTGTCTGTGGGTCTCTCCCTCGTCACCCACCCCCATATCCAGGTGGAAGTTTTCAACCAAATCAAAGGCAGGCAGGACAGACGAAGCCCAAGCCCCGGGCTGACTCCTTCAGCGCACACAGGGAGGGAGGGAGGGAGAGCCCTGGGGAAGTCTGGAAATCGTTACCCCTGAGGTAGGCAGGACTGGCAGAGGGAGGAGGGGGCTAAGAGAGTTGGGACCCTGTAGGAAAGGGGGCTGTTTCTCATGGATTCCCTGATGGCGGTGGGTGGTCTCTGTCCTCCTCCCCCTCTGGGTCTCTGTCTCCCCCAACCTGGAGTCTCTGTGTCTCTAAAATTCCCTGCAACTCTGAGCTTCTCTTCCCCCTTCCTCCCGCCTCCCTCTTTCTGCCCTTCTCTCCCTTTCTCTCTCTCTCTGGGACTCCCCTCCCCCATTTTTCTGAGTTTCTGTGCCCTTCCCTCAAAGTCCCTGTCCCTCTGTGCTGGGGTCTCTTTCTCTATCCAACCATCCGCACACCTGCAGGCCTTCCATTGGCTGAGTTCGGGGGCGGGGGGGGGCGGGTTCTGTTACCTGGGGCAACAGCAACAACAAGCCTGCCCCTGCGTGGCTACCCCTCAGGGGTGGGACCATGGCGGGTCGGGCCCTGGCTCTGCGCTACGGTCCCCCATGGCCCCCAGTCTCTGGGACCGAGGTGCCTGGCTCCTGGCCCAACGGGCATCTCAGCAGTAGTGGTGTCGCCCACCGCCTTATCCCGTCTGTGCCCTTTCCCCCGCCCACTGTGCAGGTGAGAGGACGCTAGGTTCCTGGCCAGGAGGGGACTGGGGGCCCAGGCTCCCGTGCCTGCAGGAGAGGCCTGGAGGTCCAGACACCTGCTGAGAGAAAAGTGGATTCGGGGCGTGGACTCCTCTCTGACTGAAGGAGGAGGGTCCCCGAGTCCTGGGTCTGAAAGAAGAGGGGCCGGGGAACCTGGATGCGTGGACCTGGAGGGAGCAAAGGGTTGGGGACCGACTGGGAGAGATCAGGGCTCGCGGGCTGGACTTGAACCGTTTTAGCTGACGTCCTTCTCCCCAGTCCACGGTCGCGGAGCCCCTGCCGCCGGCCGCACAGCAGGATTTGCACATCTGGGATTTTGACGAGGTCATCAGCAGATGGGAGACAACCTCTGGCTCGGCTTACGTGCCTAAGACCCACGGCGGGCCCTACGCACAGCCCAGGGCCCCAGAGCCTTCGGACCCCACGCGGACTGTGGGGATCAAGGATTTAGAAGAAAAGGTAAGGTTCTGGGATGCAGAGGTCCGCAGGGGACGGAGCAGGGGCTCGCCCTGGAGTACCGCGCGCCCTCACAGTGGATCCCCGCGTCGCCTTCCCGCAGCTCAGACACCGCGGCTGGCGCCTCCCGCTGATCACAAAGCACCAGTGCAGCGAGACCAGGGCGCAGTACACGGGCTGGCCCGACCCGGATCAGCAGCGCCCCACCTTCTACGTCGGGCCCCAGCCCCTGGAGCTTGCGGAGCACCTTCGCGGAGGCCCTTCCCAGGTAGCGGAGAAGACCCGCTGCCGCCGTGGGACAGAGCTCATAGCGCCTGGGGCGGGACGGGAGGGGCTCTGAAGCTAGGGACCAGGCTAGGAGACCCTGGGGTGGAGAATTTTGAGTCTGGGGTCGTGGCCAAAAGGTCTGGGACGGAATCAGGTTAGAGAGTCTGGGAGTGGAGCTTGGACCTTCTGAGGTAGGGTCAGGAGAAGGAGGGGGTTGGAGACCGAAATCCCACCTCTGAGGCTGGGGCCACAACCAGTGAATCCTGGGGCGGGGCTGGGAGGGAGTTCTGAGGCCCGGGTCCGAGCTCGGCGGCGGACGGTACGTGGGGGCGGGTCTTGAACTTTCCGAGCCCAGGTCGGGAGGCGGGGCTAGGCTTTCCCCGAGGGGATGAGCTAAGGGGACCGGTTGCGGGACGTGCGGCTGAATTCCAGTGGCGGGAGGTGGAAGCCAGGAGTCTGGGGGCGGAGCTGGGAAGGTTTTGTTTTGTTTTGTTTTGTTTTTGTGGTTGGGGGCTGGGCTTTGTGTCCGATGACCCGCACGTTTGGATTTTGGAGTAACCCTAATAAGGGTTCTGATTTGGGGAGCGAAGCTAAAGTGCGCTGGCTTGCGACTGGTCGGGAAGGATTCGGATTCTGGGGGCGGGTGTGAGGGCTGTTGGGTCGAAGGAGAAGGGATCCTGAGTCTGGGACCCAGGGCCTACAGTGCGGTATGAAACCTCTTTCTAGCTCATTCTGTCCTTCCCGGATCCTCCTCAGGCTTTAATCGCCTGGACAAAGAACCCCGAGCTGGCCGGCCGGTCTTTCACGGTATCTGACCAGGGCGTCTTGGACCGTCATCAGCTCTATCTGACCACCTCAGCCAAGGACTTCCGGGCCTACCCAAAGTGAGCCTGGGTCCTCGCTCGGCACCGCCCCCAGCATAGGCCGGTGCGACGCCGAACCCGGGTGTCGGCTCCCCCTTGTCCGACTCAGGAGCCTCAGCCTTCAGCTCCCGCACGCTCAAGAACCAGAAGTTCAGACCCCAAACCGCACCTTTGTTTTTTTTTTTTTAGCACCCAGGTATCCTTAGTGTCGACTCTCAGGAATATGAAACCTGCCGCTTGCCCAAGAAGGGGTTCGGGGCCAGGGGCAGGGCCCTAAGGGTCTAGGGCGGGGCCTACTTTGGTTCCCAGATACTCTTTCCCAAGGATTCGAAAACTCCAGATTCCAGGCCCTTAAGGACCTCGGGATCCAGGAATCCAGGTTAGGAGTCCCCAGCCCCCATCCTTCCTGAGGGGTCCCCGAATCCTACAAATGTGTTCTTGCCCCGAAACGCAGGAGTTCAGGTCTACAGGCTCCTCAGAACGCGGGGTCTGAACCTCAGCCCTGTCCCTAGGATCCAACTGGGTCTTCCCTCTCCTGCCTCCCTCACCAAGAGGAAGGAGTTGTCTGGATATCCCCGCAAGGACTCGCGGACCTACTGGAGCTCTGAGAAGGCGCCTCAGGCCTGGGGCCATGACCCACAGAGGCCACCCTGGCCGCGCCCCTCTCGGCCGCCAGGGATGCGCGTGCCCCATGTCCATCCGGGGACGACAGCCGTGCCACACCACGGGGCGTTGTCTCTGGCTCAGGAGTCCTACAGACCCCCGCTGCACCCGCTCCTCCGACTCGACCGTTTCTGCCCGCTGGAGCTGCCCTGGAGCGGCCCCCACTTCAAGCCGATGTCGGGGATCTACAGCGTGCCGCAGGCCTATGGCACTGAGAACTCCAGCTACGGCAGCATGAAGCCTGCCCCTCCGTGAGCCGGCAGCGCCAGCCCCGCCCCGGGCACGCCCCCCGGGCGCGGGCCGAGCCGAGAGCACGGCCTCAGGGGGCACACGGGGCGGGGTAAGGTCGGGAACCCCGCCCATGCCGTGGGAGCGAGACGGAGGCCAGGGCCCAGTGGGCGGGGCGAATCCCACACTTGACCGCAGGGTTGTCCCGGTCGGGGAGGGAGGTGGGAGCTGAGCCGGGAAAACGTACCTTGGGGCTGTGGGCTCGCGGGCGGGACACGCCCTCTGCGACAGAGGGGGCGGAGCTTCTTAGTCCACGACAGAATTAAATAGCCTAAACCATGCCCATTGCTGGGTTCGGCTCTGGGGGCCTGAGTGTGGGGGAGATGCGGCTCCCGCTGAATCACTCGTGGAAGGGAGGCCCGTCTGCGTGCAGGTGGAACCCCGCCTCTGGGCACA